GGTTTATGTCCGACAATATTTTCACGGACCGGCCTTTAAGGTGTCACGGATAAATACAACAAAATAAAACCAGTACTGGTACCAAAAAAGATCAGATTTATTCATAACACACGGGAAAAGACCCAGGGAAACTGAGTTAGCGAAGAAACTGATTAAAAACTCTGAAAACCATGAATTTCACACCCGAGTCTCAACTTTCGCAGCCCTCCACGCCTCACGGGCCGATGGTCGGTTGGGGTACCGGTCGATGGTCGGTTGGGGTACCGGTCGATGGTCGGTTGGGGTACCGGTCGATGGTCAGTTGGGGTACCGGTCGATGGTCGGTTGGGGTACCGGTCGATGGTCGGTTGGGGTACCCGCTGTTTTAAAGCATATTTACGTTGTGGGACAAAGAACAGACACATTCGTAACACATCTAAAGTGGGCTGCTTTTAAAGAACTCGTGCACCTGCACAACTGAAACGTGGGTGTGGCATCTTTAACAGGTACGTCAGCACAGGTAGCATGCAGGCCTCACCTTTGCTAATGTGAGTCAGTGAACCTGACCCCGCACTTTTAGGATGGTTGTTGTTGGTTACTGTGTGCTGCAGACAGTTCTGGTGTTTTCTGTTCATTTCATGGATCCTACTAACGAAGCTAATAGCACTGGCTGACAGTCGGGCTGGCCTCCACCCTCTCGTCTATAAAGGTGTGGCTCCTAACATGGCTGCAGCCCAAACCTCCACGTTTCAGCTTTAGATTTCAAAACTGTGACACCACTTTGTTCTTGTCTGTTTGATATCATCTGTGGAAACTACAGACAAATTATTTAGAAAATGTCAGTACATTTCAGTTTGCATCACAAACACAGAGTTCAGCTGATCTGAGGCTCCAGCTCAAAGACAAAGCTACACGTGACTCCGCCCAAAACAGACCCTGATACTGTTGCTCAGTAAAGTCACAGCTTTGGATACAAAGACAAGAAAATGATTCTAAAAACGACCTGTTCAGTTACAGTAACTAATGATGAAGGACAGAGACGTTTGAAGAAAGTAGTTTGTGTTGTTGGACAGTTACTCGCTCCGTCACATGTGAATAGACGAGTCATTATTACACTTGTGCTGTTTTCAGGTGTCACTCTGATTATACTCGTTGGTTTGTTGTGTCCTTACATAACGTCACGCGCCGTCTCGTTCCCGCCGTGACGTCACGCGCCGTCTCGTTCCCGACGTGACGTCACGCGCCGTCTCGTTCCACATCTTTACTTAAACACTGAGTGAAGTTTGGTGAAAATGATCATCCTCAGTGTTTCATACCCAGCGTTTTTCACTTGAATGAAAACAGACGTTCACCAAACGAGCTCACGTGCTCCGTGTTTCCCTCGGTGATTTAAAGTGATTTGATTGGCTCACAGCATGTACTTGTATTAATGTGCTAACTACCTTGTTTTTCTTGTCATGGCGGTTATCAAGTGTTCCCCGGAGCTCCTCAGAGTTCTTTTCTACTCACAGAGGGATCAGTAATGTTTTTGATAATAACTATTTTACAGTGAACTTGGTTTTCTAACTCTACACCTGTCAGTACTACTGAATCTGCAGCGACACGTTTGGAGGTGGTGACGATGCCTCGGCGATCTCAGAACACGCCATAGACACTGGACTGTAACCGCCTCCTTTCATGTCTTTGTCTCAAACTGCTTTTAATATTAATAAAGGTGATGACATTACTGATCATTGTGCGTCTGAGTTGTTCATATTTATGGTTAGTAAATATGTTTATGAACTGCACTTCCCATGAGTCAGTGTGCCGACTGTCACTGCTGATATTGCAGAGACGTGTTCATGAAGCAGAGCCATGCTCCAGCCTAATGAGTCAAAGCCTTGATTCTCTGAGCAGAGCACTACGGTGAGCATGAAGAACACTTAGGTCCTGAGACTGTCAGCAGAAGAACCAGAGGTCATGGTCGAGACGAGGCTGGAGGAGCTTTAGAAGAAGTCAGAGATGTTCCTGAACTCTGAAGATGTTTCTTCTGCAAAGAAGACTGTAGTTCCTCTGTAGCTCTGTAACAGTGTTTAGGCTACAGGGAACTACAGCTGTGCCACGTGTCCACAGCAGAAGGGTCATGATGACGAGCAAAGACTGTGACTCTCACTTTGTATCAGTGGCTCCTGTTCTCCAGCCTTTCATTCAAGTGCAACTGAATTAACGCCATGATGTGTATTATTACACATGTATGTGTGAGGAGGCGAGCGCCACGGGGACAGGCCACGCGAGCACCGGGCGGTTCAGTCCCCCAGCACCTCCTGCAAGTGTCCTTGGGCAAAATACTGAACCCTCAACCCTGAGCTGCAGTAAGAGCTGCTGCACTGACTGTTTGTGGGGAATAAAAAGTGACTCGTCCTGAAGTCAGATGAACTCAGTGGGACTCTGGTCCACACCACACGACCCTTCATCATGTGACACGTCTGTGTGCTTAAATTATATTTTCAGTTCAAATCTAGAGATTCTTTGACTTCACTCGAGGACTCGAGCTTCACTCTAGACAAAACAAGAACACGTGAGTCGTCACCAGCTATCGTCTTTAATTATCTGCATTACAATTATCTGAGTTACAATCCTCCAAAATATACAACTCATGACATGTACAACAAACATATATGCTTATAGTAGTTGATGCAGTGACTAAGGATCTCTACTGGCATGTGTCATAGAAGAGCACGACTCTGATAAATAACCATTCATACCTTTAAAAAAGAAAAGGACCAGGTGTGGGCCCGGACAGGGACAGGGTGAGGAGCACGGACGACAACCTGCTGCATGTAAACCAAGTCTGTCCTCCAGAGGGCGCCGTGCGGGAGCTGCTTTGTGTCTGTCCTATTAACTGTTAATCCCGGTTCCAGCTGTGCGGCCACAGACCGTACACGGCAGTGACCCCACGGACACTCGGGGCTGCGTTTGTGGGGCCTGATCTGAGGTTTCCTGACAGTCTGAAACAATAACAGCTCACTGATGCTTTTTGTGTTCAGGCAGAGCTACGACGTACTAACAGGAAGGATGTCATATATCCGACATGCAGCTCTTACTGACCCTGTGGGGTTTGACCTCTCCTGCTGTTACTGTACGCTCTACAAATTCCTGTGAAACTTCCAGAGTCTGCAATTAAAGACCATTATTCACAGTATGATGTCTTGGATAGAGTCCAGGAGCTCTGCCGAGGCCATCATTTGTTAGGAAGGGCACACGTCCAATTTGCTCCTCTGCTCGTATTTTGTTTGTTTGAACTGTTTGAACAGCACAAGTTAAAAACGGAATAAAATCGAGTCCAGGACTCGAGGTGTCAGCAGGAAGAGGGCTGGCTATGCTCTGGAGCATGCAAGCAGCGGACAGGAAAACGCGGCACACCTTGAACGGGACTAAAACATGCACAGCTCCTAGTCAGCGTGTACTCTATCTACATGGGACACAGCTGGGCGCGTCATGGCTGTCTGCTTCGAAAAACCAAAGAAGATCCACAACAGGAAAGATGTTCTGTGCACACTTTCTTGGACGGCTTACCGGCAGATGGCGTCACAGCTATGGTCATAAAGGAGTGTCGTCTTCGATCTATTGCATCAGGCAGTCTGTGGTGCTCTGGTGGAGCTACGGAGACGCATGCACGTGTAGAGGGGGTAGGGTTAGACTAATGCGTTCGTTAGTGGCTCACACATCAGCTGGTGTGTGAAGCCTCCTGCTAGCCGTCTGAATAAAACTACAAATATGGCTTCCAGAGGACTGCGTATCCGTCGCGCGTCTAAAAACAGGTTTTGACTTTGACTAGTTTGGAATTATGGTGAGGTCTTCAAAATAAAAGCTTGTATGTAAGCACAAAGTATTACACATCAGTCTAACCCTAGTGGAGGTGGCAGAGACATGAGTGGATATCTGGCTCGCAGTTCACATGACATGGTACCTTGGCACATGACGATGGGGCACGGGGGAGCGCAGTGGTGAGGTGTCACTGGAGAGGTGGGTATCAGGCAGGCATTGGGGTGGGCAGGTGTGGGCGGGGTCAGACTCAGTCATTTAGCTCTGGGCCGTTAGCCGCTGCTCTGTGAGCGACGCCTGGTGTGATACCGTCTTGTTTTCGTGAGCCCTCAGCTTGGAGACGATGTTGATAAACTCCAAGCTCTGGACCTCTTTATGAAGCGGCTCTGAAGAGAAACACAGGAGGCAGGCGTGTTATCAAAGCCACAGGTCCCAGCATGCACAGTGTTTAAGCACGTTCAGTCACGTTAAAACACAGCAGTTTGTGCAGAGACCCTCCAACACTCCTGCTGCTGTGTCAGTCCATCGCTTGCACACTGACAGTGAGACTCAGGCGCAGTGACCTCAGCGCTCTGACGCCAGGGCGCTGAAAC